ATTAAAACAACAAATCTTATCAAAACTCGCAATAGAAAGTAAACAAACAATTCCACGAATATTTAATTCAATTTTTTATTCTCAGCATCAATCATACTTCACATTCGCTCGCACTTGTTTCCATCTTTCGTATGAACTTTTCATTTATTCTACATTGCTTGAAAAAACATAAAAATAAACATGATGCTTTAAGAGAAAGATGAGATGCGGTACCAACATAATTTCCATTTGTATCTCATATTTTCTTGTAAGGAGCTCGCTTTAAGCTAAAACTGTTGTTTCGTTTACATTTCACATTCAATATTATCCTCTTGTAGACATTCATCTTGTATCTCATTCGGGTTTACTGTGTATACATTTATGCAAGTATTCACTTAAGTTTCTTTTTTTTTATTTCTGTAATTTGCATTTCTGCTCGTTTTATTTTCGTCAATTTTATTCTCATGAGACGTAGCAGCTGTCCGATGGGAGGCTTAATCTTCATGTAAGAATATTTTTTATAAAAAGTTTGAGGTAAGATTTGAACTAGTGTTCAGGATCAGCTGTTTTAATTGGAGGATTGGCTGGAATTAAACAAGCTGGAGATGGAGCTGTGTCTCATCCATTATCCCTGAGTTCCACGTCTTAATATGAAACAAAATTTGCTTGAAAAACTCAAAAAAATTCAAAATTCCTTAAAAGATCAACTTTCTTAATCCTTCCATTACAACACGGAAAGAGAAGTGTTCTTATAGTTTGAATTGAAGTTAAAAGTTTATTTTCAAATTATGATAATTAAGTTAAAGTTGAAACAACTTTTTTATTCACAAAACTAAACTTTTTACTTTATAAATCTCATCATCACTATAGCTATAGCTTCTATTTTTTTTAATAAAAATGTTATTTCTCATAGATAAGATTTTAATGTCATGATATTAGCTTGACAGTAAACTTGGACAGCTGAAATTCATTGAAAACAAAATTATTTTTTCCGGTGGAAATTTTTGACTAAAGTTTATATTTAAAACCTTAGTTATTTATAAGATATTGAAGTTGATGAAACATAAAATGTTCGAATAGTCATTTTGAAGTTCTTCGCTCCTGGAATTCCCAAGTTCATCAAATTCTTCATAAATATTATTCTTCAGAAAATTCTAATCTCATCAGAATCAGCATGAATCAAATTGGCAAACAATGTTAAAAATTCATTTCGCATTCTGTGAAGTTTTTGAGATTCTTGTTTTTAAAAAATTCATTCAGAATTCTAAAAAGCAGTCAGATTATCATCAGTTTAGTAACTTTTTATCTTGATTGTGAATAATTAATGATGACTTATTTTTGACTTTTTTTCTTTTGCGCATAATTGAAATCATTCACAAATGACGACTAGCATTAGAGAGGACAATGGCTGTGACATTTGATAAATTTATGAATAGCTTAAAAATTCCATTTTTTGATGAACGCAACTTTTAAATGCCGCCCATTAAAAGATTTAAATAATTTATGAAAATTTATTTGTGTAAAATTTCCATCTCTAAAAAATCTCTTTTAGAAAAAATGAATGAAAACATCGACTAATGGAAGCTCTGCAAATAAATTCAGTATCTTAATAGCATCACAAGTATGTATCTCAATAATATCATACTTATTTTGCTTTCAGCATTTATTTTCAATTGCTTATATTTTTGAAGGGATCGTTCACTTACTAAGTCATGGGAAATCTTCTCGCTTTGCCACATAATTTTTATAAAAATATCTTTAAATATCAAACGTAACAGATCAAACATCCCCTATTCCCATGTGAATCTGAGTACGTATATTATCTTCAATATCGAACCTGTTTACAAAAGAGAATTGCTTGAAAATTTTATAATTTATTATTTGATAATGTTTATTTTCCTTTTCTTGCAGATAATTTGTGGCTTGTTCTATCCAATATATTGTCTTTAAAGCTCAATAAGTACTGAGTGTTGGTTTCAGGTGCTCGTGTGCAATTTAAAACTTGATTGCTGTTGTTTTGGCATTAAAACTTTTTCAACTCAATATTTAGTACCTTGATGTCTAGCCTTATTGGCCTGATAAAAAAAAGATTCAATTTTAAATTGCTTTATAATGATTATGGGCATGTTTTGAAGAGCTTGAAAGACCTAAAGAATAATATTTTTGTAATTATTGAAATAATTAAATAAAAATGTTCAAGCATAAAACTAGATCTAATTTCAAATGCAAGCCAGGACTAAAACTTAATCTAAACCCACAAATAGATTTGCATAGTATTGGATCAAACCCAAACTTAGTAAATGCATAATTATCCATGAAATTCATCCTATCTTCATCCAAATATTAACACAGATGTGGAACAATAAGAATTTATAATCTGTGACCAGCAAAGACCTTTTCCTCATCCAAAAAAGTCTTTTGTTAACTTTTCATTGGGCATATCCAAGCTTTATTATGCACTGTGAATGTATTCAGATCATCACTTTTCAGAATCTTTAGGTTTTTATTTCACGGTAAATTAACATTCTGTGCCAAAGTCATAAATCTTAAGATTCTGCTTTAATGGAAGATCTAGAATAAATTTTAAATCGACAAAAACAAAAACAGAACTGAACAATGTTTGTAAGAAGAAACTTTCTCATTCAGAATATTTGATGATATTTCACAGAAAATAACTTTGAGGAAAGTAAACATTCTTGAGTAATGGATGGAAATGGAAATATTTTAATTCTGTCGGTAAAAATGTTTATTTATTATAAAATGGGTAGATGATTTTGAGGGTAAAGTAAAGAATCTCCTTATTACTATAAATTATAGATTCAAGCAATATTTTACGTCCTTATAAAAAGTAAAATTTTCACCCATAATAATTTCTTAATATAATTATCTTTAAAATAAGTGTTCAATTCTGAGTATTTCAGCAATTTTTAAGAGCATTCTAGCATAAAATTAGCTCTGTTGAAGAAATTACAAGTAAGCACGTAACTCTGTTCTCTGAATGAAATTGTTTGTAACATTTTTGTTCGAGAACAAAAATCAGAAATTTAAAACGAAGAATTTCAGACTGAAAGGTTTCGTGGAACTTCATCGACATTTTGAAGAAGGCGCAAAATTTCTTTTTCTGAATATTACTGACTTATAAGATCTCGCAAGAGTATAGTTGATTATAATATTGGTTTTTTTAAGGATCACAATCTTTAGCTATAATTTACAAAATTCTAGATTTGAGCTTGATATTCATTTCATAGCCCAAATTATCAATTATAGCTCAAATTCGAATAATATTTAATATCTTAAACTGAAACCTTATCTAAAGTATTTAAAAATTGAATTAAAACTTAAACTTCTAGAACAAATCCATTCACAGTTGATTCGCCTTGTGATTCCATCTTTATATTCACTTCAGAAGACACACAGCTTAATAATGTTGACTAAAATATTCATTGCATCTTAAGCGAGCGTAAAGAATGAACTTACATTTTGCAATTCCTCATAAAAATAATTCCTTAAGTTTTATGGCATGTAGAAACATTTATTGAATTGTAAGCTTTAAAATTCTTGAACAACAGCACTTGATTTAATAACTTTACATTCATTTTTTATTCATCAACTTTCTCTTTTATTTTTTCACATAAAACAAAATTAGTTTTCAAACTTGTTGCTTATTTCACTTCCTTTATAATTGATTTAATCTATTCTGAACATTTTCAGCACTTCCGAAAATATTTTTTATTCATCGATAAACTTTTTCATTCATCCACAAAAACAAATTCACTAAATTTATTTCACTTTAAATCCTAGTCAAATAATCACAATTGTATGCCCGCGCGTTAGAGCTACTCAAACTTTACATCCACACTCGACGGCTCCCGTTTTGAGTCTGAGATGTGAATGTCTCATCTCCGTATCTCCAAAAAAAGAAAAAAAATTCCAGCAAGTACACGAGTACAAAGACATCAACATTGCCATTCGACATGTAAATCATGCTGTGATGGGAAATGCCTGATTGCACAATGCTTTGACCACAATTGCAATCACGATTTCACACCTAAATGGAACTATCAATTAATTCAAATTTATTCAAAATAACTTTTTTTATGGACGGGACAAAAAAAGCTTTTATATCTCAATAACAATTCAGGATGCCTGCTTTTTTTTTGCAACAGGTTGAGGATGAATCATGCGCGATTGCTATCATCTTCGTGATGCTGTCGGGTATATGCTCTGTCCTTTTCCAGCATCCACTGTTTACAAATTGAGTTTGTTTACTGTCCTTATATTGTACATTTGTGTATGCCACATGCTTTCGGTCGCTACAAGAAGCAGTGAGGAAATGAAGACGTATATTAAAAGGTTGTGGCATGCACGTGCACATTAAAATACTTATGAAGTGTGCAATAATTCGAGGAAAATTTCATTTTTTTTTTGAGAGCTTTTCTGCTTCCTTTAAAGCATTTATGTTGGTGGCGGGTCGTTACATTAACATTAAAACTTCAATTTCATGCTGTGCTTTGATATTTGCTCTTTCATGTTGTTTCGGCTAATTATTGTGCAATTATCGTTAATTTAATGTTGATTGTAAGTGAAAGTTAAAAGTTTAATGAGAGTCAATATTGGTGCTTGGAGCTTGATATTCAATTTGGGTTGTTTTGAATGTAAAATGGATATGTTGGCTGAATTAGAGGTGCTTTCTAAAGGATTCATAAGAGTAAAGGAAAAATCAAGCTACATAAACTCCTAGGCACAGTTGGTTGCAAAGTATTTTCGCTTTTTGTTGCCTGGGAAGCCTGATTCTTTTAAATGGCAAAAGCTCAAACACGAAACAGTCAAAAACCTCTTCACAAATAGACGCAAATTCAATTGAGTGTTCATACAATAATTGTGGTAGAGTCTTTCACGGATCTGTGTTGCACGGAACGGATTTTACATAACAATATCATTTAGCATTCAAAACACAGCAATGTTAAACCTGTTTCAACCAAAAATTTAACTTTTAAACTTTATTAATATAAGACCTTAAGTCCTGATAAAATGATTAAGTCAACAACTTTAATAAATGCATCGTTTTCATAACTTTTTTTTGTACAATAAGATAAAATCGATTCGAAAGACAATAAAGGCACCTATGGAAAGTATATCCAAAAGATTTACTTATATTCCTTGTTTAATGCACGACCAATGAGCATTCGACGAATTTCGCTTGTTCCAGCACCAATTTCATAAAGTTTAGCATCTCTTAAGAATCTCCCAGTTGGGAAGTCATTGATATATCCATTGCCACCCAAAATTTGAATAGCATCAAGACTGACTTGAGTTGCTTTTTCAGCACAATATAAAATGACACCAGCACAGTCTTTAGCATTAGCTCTGCCTTGATCACATGCTCTAGCGACATTATATAAGTAGCTTCTGCATGCATTCAAGGTCGTGTACATATCAGCCAGTTTTCCTTGAATCAATTGAAACTCTCCAATTCTAGTGCCAAATTGCTTTCTTTGATGAGCATAGTCGAAGGCAACATCACATGCTGCTTGCATTAATCCAACAGGACCAGCTGTCAAGACCATTCTTTCATAATCTAAGCCACTCATTAAGACATAAACTCCCTTTTCTGTTTGTCCCAAAATATTCTCAACTGGAACTTTGCAGTCTTGGAAGATTAATTCACCGGTACTTGAGCCACGAATACCGAGCTTGTCTAATTTTGGTCCAGTGCTGAATCCTTCAAATCCTCTTTCAACAATAAATGCAGTAATTCCATGTTGTGGTGATACTTTTGTGTTTGTTTTGGCATAGACGACAATAACATCAGCATCTGGTCCATTTGTGATCCAAAACTTGCTTCCATTTAGGATATAATGATTGCCATCCTTTTCAGCCTTTAATTTCATTGAAACAACATCTGAGCCACTTCCAGCTTCTGACATAGCCAAAGCACCAATATGTTCACCTGAGCATAATTTTGGCAAGTATTTAAGCTTCTGTTCCTCATTTCCATTTCTGCTGATTTGATTGACACACAAGTTTGAATGTGCACCGTATGACAATGAAATGGAACCAGATGCTCTTGAAATTTCTTCGTTGATGATGCAGTGATCGAGATATGTTCCACCAGTTCCTGTAATGGAGGAATTAAAGTTTTAGATCCATAAAAAGATTATTTAAATCCGGAGTTTTAATTTTTAATCTTAGGATTTAAAAAGTAAATCTTGAGATTAAAAATTCAGATCCAGTGACTATTTAATTTACCTCCATATTCAGGCTTAGCTGTGATCCCCAAAAATCCCATATCACCGAGTTTCTTCCAAAAATTTCTCAAATCTTTAAATTCATTGTTTTTGTCAATTTCCTGAGCAAATGGAGCAAGTTCTTTCTGTGCGAAATTGAAGACTGTTTGACGTAGCTACAAACATAAGCATAAAATATAATTACGCACTTTATCATTAGAAATCTAATCAAAGAATTCACTTACAGCGCTTTGATCTTCCGTTAACCCGAAAAATGCATCGTCAATCGGATAATGTGTCATAGAACGAACGCTGATGGTCTTAATGCTGACATTTTTGAACAATTTTGTGGCAGTTCTTAACATTTTTGTGGATTTTTATGAAATTAATTAATCCCACTTGTTGCAAGAAATTTTATCCGATTCGCAAAGTATTTTCTGTGATTTTTTCACAAGGGATAGTCATCAGGTAGATCACAGGCTGCCTTCCTTAGAAAAAGTATCAAGAGTCTATGAAACCGAAATTAACTGACAAATTTGAATTCAAAAAGAGTTTGAGATGCAGAAATTGATGCGAAAATTTGAATTGTAAAAGGTCGTTGAATATTAAAATTGAGTGATCTGACAGCTAAAATTCCACCTCTGGATCGTTGCGGTTCGTAAATTTTCTAGGTATGTTCGTTGTCAACAATGATAAGAAATTTTAGTAATTTTATCCTTAAAAATAACCGACTGTTTCTATCTATAGGACCATTGAATAAGTCACTAAACGTTCGTAAAATGGCTGATGAAGTTAAGGCTGCACAGGAAGCAAATCCTGGTGCAGACACGATTTTCGGCAAAATTTTAAGGAAAGAGATTCCTTGTAATTTCATTTACGAAGATGATCAATGCGTAGCATTTCATGATGTTAGTCCACAAGCTCCTGTTCACTATCTTGTCATCCCTAAGAAGCCTATCCAGCAGTTATCAAAAGCTAGTGACGAAGATGAACAACTTTTGGGACATTTGTTGTTGGCTGGAAAGAAGGTAAGCTGGATGTTCCTTATGTTTCACGTTAACTTATTGATTTATTATTTAGGTTGCTGATCAGCTCGGCTTGAATAATGGATATCGTGTAGTTATCAATGACGGAAAGCTTGGAGCTCAATCTGTTTATCATTTACATCTTCATTTCTTGTCAAACAGACAAATGGGATGGCCACCAGGTTAAACAAATCCTATCTATGTTTTTCAGTAGCTCTATGCCTGAATAAAATCTTCAGTTCCTTAAACATTTAAAATTTTAACGTATTTTGATTTTTTGAAATTTCCAAAATTGGTTCTTAAGTTAAATTCGAAACGATAATAGTATCATAAATGTATACACCGGCATACTACTAAACCTTTGTTTATCATCATATTTAGGTACGGTCCATAAAACAAGGTTTTACTGTAAAAATTTTGCAGTTCGCAAAAAGACTTGTTATCCTTAATAAACAAATAATTAAACTGGATTATCACAGTCTTTAAATAGTTCTTTGCATTTAGTTTGATTAATAGCACCGCCCACGACTCAACCATGATAAAGTTTCTGGTAAGTTAATGTAATTAACACGGTTTTTGGACATTATTATGCAATTTCTTCTTCAAATTTTTTTAAAAATAATTTGATTTAATTGCAGATTACACTAGGAATTGGAGTCTATTCTGGCATATATATCGCTCAAAATTATGATGTACCAAAAGTAGACGATCCATCAAAAGTTTATGAGAAATTCATGGCTTTTATTGATGAACAAAAAAAGACAGCAGAAGATTTGAAGAAAAAAGTCGACAAATAAGGAACTGAATGCTGAATATTCATAATAAGAGCGTGCATTTGATTATAATATTATTGAATCTATGATTCGATTGTGGCTGGCGATAGTTTAACTATTTATTGTGGAGCTAAATCATTCTCAAATAAAATTTTATTTTCGAAAAATTAACCGTCACTTTTTATTTGAATTTTTGCAGAGCACGAAGTTGAATTAAGCTTTGAATTTTGTGAAGAATTTAACGGGTTTTTGGTAAATTTCAGTTTCAAGAACAGAGTAGCATCAAGTAATTGGGTACGGCATTAAGTTTTTAATTGTTGATTCTTGATTTTTTAAAATTTTCATCAAAAAAGTTGTTTTCTTTAAAATTTTGAATTAAATTATATACTTCACAAGCATCAGGAGAAATAAGAAACGTAAAACAAAATATATTTTCTTGTCGGCTCTAAGTCACATGTGTCAACTTCGACTTCCGGATGTAAAGCAATAAAAATGTCCTTTTCAAAATAAATAAGTATAAAACTATGTTGGAGCTATATTACAGCTATAGAATGAATCCGTTCGTGTTAAAACAACTCATAGCACAATTAATGAAGTTAAAGTATCTCAGATCAAGCAAGGTAAGTGCAGTATATCCTGAAAATTATCCTTAACTTAATTTATTGTCATTTTATAGCTAGCTTATGTTGGTGTAGGTGTCTATACTGGAATGTATATCGCACAGAATTATGATGTACCAAAAGTAAGTGATCCAGCGAGCTTAGTGCAGAAAATAGCCGAGATATTTGAAGAGGACATAAAGAAGAAGTAATTTAATTTACCCAAATACAGATTAGTTTTTATTGTAATTTGTTAATAAACGTTAAATAAATTATAATTTATGTAGTTCATATAAACAATAATCCACCGTCACTGAATTCTGTAAATTAGAAGATTGACATCATTAATTATCACTTCCAGTTAAATTTAATTCAATAATACTGTACCTAGTCTATTTTGTGGTTCTGCAAATGCCAGCCAATCTGAAGCATGCGTCGGTAATAGTCCCATTGAATGACATTTGTAAAGTGCTAGTCCAATGTTTACTAAATTTCCCAAAAAGAAGATCAACTTTTGTGGAATAATGCTGTTCTGGATCAATTCAAAACTTTTGAATGTAGCACCAGTCGTGAATATTGCTTTTAATGGTCGAATTAAGGACATACCAACCATCATAATTGGAAAGATTGAGATCGAGTTACCAGCCATATACATAATTAACAAGTTCATTGGAATCTAGAACGAAAATTTAAGAGATCCAGTGAAAGATCCAGAATACAAAAATTTATCAAACTTACTCCTTTAATTGGACCTAGTGCTACATCCCAAGATTTCTTCATAATCAATTGATTTTGGTCTGTATCACGTGCTACTTCACTATGTGACTGAGCTGCTGACAAATTAAAGCCTGGAGGAACAGCAAGATCCGATTTTGGTCTAGAAATGTGTTTTTTAATGAAATTTACATCTTTCCTGGATGTTTTTAATGAAACTTACTTGGTATTGAACTCAAGGCTCCATTTGAATTTCTTTGAAGACGACTTAGACATGGTTTTAAACTTAATTAATGATTTATTTTCTTTTTTGATGAATTTTAATTTCGAATTTAATTTCTTTACGGTTCGCAATTTCGAATTTTCGAAACCCGTTAAATTTGTGCGATTCGCAAAAATTTGTTCCATAAAAATCTCTTGTTTTGATAAAACATTTTGTAAGTTTTAAGCAGTTTAATTAACTTGATAAAATCTAAAATGTTATCGATAACACGTCAAATATTGCCAAAAACAAGGTTAGCATGAAGAACAGACTTAAACATTCTTAAAAATCTAGAATTTTCCATAAAAATTATTATGCAATAAATTATCAAAATAAACATGCATCCATTACAGAGGATTAGCTGTTTTGACATCCGTTCGCACTAAGGTAACTTTACCTGAATTGCCATACGATTATGCAGCCTTAGAACCAGTTGTTTGTCGTGAAATCATGGAGGTAGATATTGTGTGAAATTAAGGGACTCAAAAAAGTAAACAAATCTATTTACAGCTTCATCACTCAAAACATCATCAAGCCTATGTAACAAACTTTAATGCAGCTAAGGAACAATTGGATGAGGCAGTTGCAAAGAATGATGCTAGTAAGATTATCAGTTTACAAGGCGCATTAAGGTTTAACGGTGGTGGACACATTAATCACTCAATTTTCTGGAAGAACCTAACACCAGAACGTACAACCCCATCTGATGCACTCCAAAAAGCAATTATTAAGGATTTTAAGACACTCGATAATTTAAAGGCTGAATTAAAAGTCGCTGCTGTTGGAGTTCAAGGAAGTGGCTGGGCATGGTTGGGACTTAACAAAAAGACTGGAAATTTACAAGTCGTTCAATGTCCAAATCAGGATCCCCTTGCAGCCACAACCGGCTTAGTTCCATTATTTGGTATTGACGTTTGGGAACATGCTTATTATCTCCAATATAAAAATCTTAGACCAACTTATGTTGATGCTATTTTTGATATCGTTAACTGGAATGACGTTTCTGAAAGATTCTCATCAGCTTAGATCTTGCGTATGAGTTAATTATATTATAAATCTGAGAATGTGCGAATCGCAATCGAAAGTTTTTGTGTCTGAGATGCAGATTGAATAAAAAGCTATAAGTTTAATAACAAAAGTTTCCCAATTAATAAACTTATCTTTGATGTCTTATCCTTAACAGGTGTCTGCTAACGTTCAAAAAATTACAAAAATAATAGATTTTTCGGACACATCAACTGCGCAGGCTCAAAACTTAGCGAAAAAAAATCTCCACAATTTTTTCTTTATTAAAAGTTTGAAGCCGTGAAGGAAAAGTCGTGAAAAATAATTTTCCTGTATTTTTCTGGATATTAAGAAAATTATAATTTATTTTCAATTATGTGAAAAGTGATATTAAGCATGGAGATATGCATTTTGAAGTGATGAAAAGTTAAATTAGACTTGGATATAATTTAAAAGTGGATATAAAGACAGCAGGGAAAATATTGAACGCATATTAAACGGTAAGCTCTAGAGAAAAATACACAAAAAAAATCAATCTTTGAACAAGAAAAAAAGTTATGAGTCATAGCTTTTTTTTCTATGACATTGAGTTTAATTTAAGCACATTTGAATCAATTGTAATCGCATTTGTGGACTGACTCAATCTTCTTTCAACTATATTTGTGACTATATCTTGATTTTGTGGTCTCATTTTAATTAATATTTCGAATTTGTTCATGGATCTGAATTCATCTCAAAAAGGATCAAGGACAAAAAAATTGAAAAAATTTTTATTTCAATCCACAAACCTTCTCTCTATATCCAAATTGTCGCAATTTTCATTAAGTACATTCATTTTGTCTCGCATTTAATGAAATCAAGAGCATTTTGGGACTACGGAACAATAATGATAGCTCTACTTTTTTTATGCATACAGAACCTTTTCCTTTCTTCTCTGTTCTTCTTTAGTTGGGGTTGTTCTTAAGTGATGTCTATTGAAAATTGATTTTATACCCCCTCCAGTAGTGGAGCCTAGTAATTCCTTTTTTTTATGGGGGAGGCAGCTTTTATACCATAAAAGTGATAATTTATAGACAGCAACCTGATGAACTCTAAAAACCAACCCTGCATCACATAAAACTTAGTTTGACATCATCTATGAACGACTCCTTATCAACACTTAACAAAAAGCAATTTTCTCTTGCTTCGTTCTCTTTCTTTCTTTTTCTGTGGAGCATATTAAAGAACATTATTTTAAAATGTCACTGACATGAGCGCATTTATGAGTCACAATTCCACAATGATTCAGAATCGAAAAAAATGTTCAAAAATTCAAAAATTTCATGTTAATTAAACTATGTCCTTTAAATGCCAGATTAAAGATCTTAACTTGAGGCATATCCTATGAAAATATCTCGTCCCAATTTGATGTCTAACTCCAGAAATCATTAATTTAATCTCACCCAAAATTTGTTTACAATTTGTGTATGAAAAAAAAAATATGATTTTTTCTACTTTAAGTTGTTATTTGGATGTCTTGGAAGCAGTTACTAGCTAATTTAAGCTTAGCTTTACATACTAAAACAACCAACTCAATAGAAATCTGCGTATTAAGCCTTAAAAATGGAATTGAAATCTGAGTATTTTTACACTACTTAAACTATTCATAAGTTAAAAAGTCTTCCAAAGACCTCTCTGAAACCTATATAAATCAATTAAATAAGCTTTAATCTATCTCCCATATTACTGAGGACATGCCGTTTGATGCCGTTTTCGAGATATTTGCGATCAAAGTTTACATAAATTTTCATACAAAATTTGATCATGCACAATATTTTTTGATAAACTTTTACAAACTTTTGGTAAAAAATCATGTTTATCCTTTATATTAGGGACTAATTTTTTGAGCAATGAACGAAAACATTATGTAGATGATGCTAAAAGATTCAAATCAAGAGAAATTAACAAAAACTTTCAATTTTCTAATGTGTTGGAAAAATATTGTGCACAAGGAATTTTTGAACATTTTTTCCAAATCTGAATCATTGTGAATTCTTCTTTTTAAACTGACATACTTATTCGCTCTTTAAAAGTAGTTCATTATTAACATATATTTTCATTTTGAATTATTTTAATGGAGCCAACTTCAGGTCAAAGGGGAAATTATTGCGTTGGTCTAATCCTACGCTAAGGTTTACCTGAAATTGCGGAAAAAAAGTTGTACAATTTTATTTTCAGTTCAAACCTTGAGCAATTAAGACGTATTGATTAGTAATCTGTGATAAGCCTTTAAATTTAGGTAAAATTGATTCTATTACAAGAGGTTAAGTACTATCAAAGCTTCATAAGCCCTTTAATTTTTAATAATTCTTCTTAAAAACTACCATATCAAAATGAAAAGCTTTATTATATAAAAAGAATTCTCGTTATCTTTTTAGACCATAAATTGAGACATTCAAATACAATGTTTTACATTATAATTATGCTATTTATAATTAAGTATTATATTGACGTCAAATCAGTCATGACAATATCTGCAATTATTCATCAAAGTTTCATCATAATCTGGAATAATTTGAATTGCTAGTGACATAAATTCACGCTAGCTTGAACATAATAGAGCATTTTATTCTGCGAAAATTCCGTCAATAGAGAAACACAGAGTATATTCAAAATAGGACGCTTCATTTTTTTCTATATAGAAAATCGAATAATGTCGATGAGAACAGCAAAAAAAGAAGAAAATAAAAATCTAATGATATTGAAGATTATGCTGGCATCATCGTAATTTTATGTGTTTAAAAAAAGAGATAAGAGTGGGGAAATCGACAAACATTGTGTGGTGTTGGAAGTGGAAAAAAATATTGAAAACTTTTTCTTTCTTTAACAATGAAGTTTGAAACTTTTTTTATGCATTTGAATTGTTCTGTCCAATGACCCGAAAAGAGAAAATTGCTACCACATGATTGCCATCAAAATAATTTTTCTCTTGGGAATATGAGCAAGTCATTTCCACGATTTTTGTGTGAAAAATTTATTTAACACGAAATTTGCATTAAGAAAAAATCAGAAAAATTCCATAAATAAATACACAACAATAAGAAAGTTTTTTTTTGTATGGAATTGTGATGTAAATTAAAAGAAATTCTATTACATAAACTTACATGCTCCTTCGTTCTTTATGTTAAGCTTCTAAACAGATGCTCAGCTTTTTCCTTCCGTCCCACTCGACATAAACTTTCAAGATGTTTTTATTTTATTCTTCGTCCTCTTCTTACAATCACTTCTGTGTGTTTTCATGCACAACAATAATAACAAAATCATAAAAAATTTTTATTTTACATAGAGTGAGGTGGTGGCTCTATGAATAGGGATGACTAGATCTTATTTGTTAAATACGTAGAACCACAGAGAGACCAAGAAATGATAAAATGAAGTCATTTCTCTGTTGAGTACAAGGGACGGGCTGGGATCAAGAAATCGAGCACTATACGAATTTTATTAAAATCCTAAGCTATTGAAACAAGATGGCCTTCCTACTTATCTATAACACAATATCTTAAAAGAAGGCACAAGAAAAATAAGAGAGTTAAAATATTTTTATGAATAGAAATGTTATGGAGGATTATGAATAAAATTAGTTCCATAAAGAAAATTCCTTTCAACAACTTTGACTGCACAAACAACGCTCATGTATTTATGCTATTCATTTATGGTCACGTCTACCTATAAGTGATGGGAAAAAATTTCAACAACTTGAAGAGTATGTGATGCACGTCAATATTATTAGCAAGTTTTATTTCGGTTGTTTGTTATCTAATTTAGTCAATATTGCTTTTCTGCTCAGGGTATTGCGTTGTTTTGAGAGAGATGCTTCTTGTGGGGGTTGTAGATTTACTCTTCGGAGAATTGAATTATTTTTAGAAGACTTTAAAATTGTTTCAAGGACATGGCAATTATTTTATAAAAAATCCAGAAGCTTCGAGAGAGCGTTGATTAATATTGAGGACATTTTTCGAGATTTATTTATCACAGTTTGGCAATTTGTAGAACTCAACAAGAAGGTTTGATCTTAAATCTATTTGCCGTCCTGGCTTTTTCTCTAAAAACTGACAGTCATACTCAAATAATTTAAAATATGCCGATGGTGAAATCAGTTTTTCACACTCTGCAACCTTTAAGCTTAAAGCATGAGCAGCATCAAAACAGAGCAGATGCAGCCATTCATCAATTTTATCTCGTATAAATCACAACTATGAAAATATGTTGTGTTGCTTAATATTCTTGAACTCACACATTGACGTGAATGTCTTCAATCTCTTTGTCACGATAGCAGACTCAATAAAGCATTGCTATCAAGATTTTGCTTACTGCAGACAATATTTGTGCTAGACTCATTCATTGCATTTTTGAGATTTATGAGCAGCTAGGACATTGTGCTTTCACAACAGCACTCAACTTAAAAAATTATGGATGACTTATTTTTGCTGACTAACGGAAAATTTGTGGGAAATACTTGGGAAAATTGTGACCTCAAATTCAAATTACATAGCTTTTCTTAAGAAATGATAATATATCAATATTTGGTTACAGCGACCACAGGGCGTAGTTATACACATGCAATATGCCAAGAAACTTTCAGTCAGTTGTTCTGACACACAGAAATCACCTCCCTTAACTTTATGAGTTCACAAAAAGGAGGTTAGAATGGAGGTAGCAATAATATACGGTTGAGAAAATTCCATTAAGCTTCAAGCTCTGTGAACAAAGGCATTTTTGTGGAACAATCATTGTTGATATTTCCTTTTTGTCCTGAATACAATTTTGCGGATGCAAAAAACGTAAGCAAGTTTGAGAATAATTTAATAATCATTTTGCAAGCATTTCCTTTCACAATTTATCTAAAGTATAAAATGTATGTACATATCCATAAGTGAAGAGATAAATTATTGACGATACAATTAGATTCCCTATCTCTCTTTCTCCCTTTGTGTCATGAAAAAGCAGCACATAAAAGCTTCTCTCTGTATTTATCATGTGTCACAGTGTGCAAAAAAAAAAACAAGTGCTGTAGGAAGGTAAGAGTTGATGTCGTTTCAGCATATCAATCCAACACGTGCCTCCATTTATTTTATGTGCTTTTTTGCTTTTTCTACATTTTTTTTTGCTTCTTTCATTCTATCCTTTCGACTATATGTGCTGAGTGAAGAAAGCAAAAAATAAACTTTTTGAGCGTTATTTTCTGTGTTTTTCTTCTGTGTAGAGCTCGAAAGTTTGCCACAATTTTACCTTCTTCTTCTTCTTCTTGTTAAGATGGAATGAAAGAGCATGTGTAGATATATATTTTCATATAAAAGTGTGCAAGGATAGGGCACTATTGCTGTGGTATAATCAAACTGACTAAGAATTGTTCAAAATTGAACTTTACTGACCAAAAGTTAAATCAAACTCACCATAAATGAACAAAACTAGTCAAAAGTTATCCAAAATCACCACATATCAACGAAACTGACCAAAAACTAAAGTCAAACTCACCACAAATGAATAAAATTAAAAAAAAACTAAGTTAAACTCACCACAACTGAACAAAACCAACCATAACTTAATTCAAACTCACCACAAATAAACAAAACTGAACAAAATTTAAGTCGAAATCACTACGAATGAGATAATTCAACACTACGAATGAGATATTGACTATATCACTTGAAACAAACAAAAAACTGATCTAAACCAACAAAAAGCTTCACGCCCCTTGACCTCACGTCCAAACATGACCAAGAACTACATTAGAAAACATGAGAGCTTTTCAAGAATATCTTAAGGCTATTGTCGGACTCTTACACATTTTGTGCCATTACACTCATGAGTCATTGAATCACCAAATATTTCCTTTCCATTCATTCAATTGCATGCCATATTGAAAGCCACAATTTTACTTCTGGAAAGAGAAAAAATAAAATTATTCTCATATCGATTTTTCATTTCGTTCAATGAAGATGAAAGCCCTGTGCAGATATAAAAGGGATCACAAAAAAAGCAGCATAAGAATGTCATGTTCAATTTTTCTCGTCATTCTCCTCTTCTTATTCGCTGAGATGAGCCTGAGTCGAGTGGAAAAATGGCTATGTATGAAATGTTGTCTATGACGCTTGATCGTGGGCGAGGGGATATACATGTACATAATGTTCACATGTTTACGACTGTAGGTTGATAAAAATAACATATAGGTATGAAAAAGAAGAATTGTGATAGAAACTGTTGAGCATATTTTTTTATTACTTTACCAAAACTGTCATGAAAGAGATTTTCTGTCCGTACCAGTAAGAAGAAAATGCCGAGTTAATGTCATATAAAAATCATTAATCACCCTTTAAATAAACTTTGACAAATGTGGAACAGAATGAAATAAAGGAACATGAAGAGGGACTTTTTTTTTGTTATTAGCAAAACTCTCGTTTTATTATTTTTATGGATCAATGAACGAACAGGAGGTACATTATATGTTCTCGTACCTGTAAGAAGCAATTTTCTTTCATTTTGGCATAAATTTTTATTACGAAACTCATTTGGCATTTGGCAATTACGGATTTAAGGGAGAATAAATGCTATTGGGAAGTGGATTGAAATGTCCATGGCAAATTTATGTGGATGCTATGTATGAATGTGTATCCAAGGACTAGTTTCTTAGGTTTAACACAATTTAAAGTCGTGAGCATTTTGTGAATCTTTGTCATATCAACATGTAATAATTGAAAGATTCCATTCTCTCTTTCTTATAGTCTATTGCCTAACCAATCGGCCACAGATACCTTACTCTTATTCTGGCAGATTCACCTACATATGACTTGATACCCAAGATTCCATCCTGCTGCGACACCACATAAGGATTGTCGTATTCATACTCTAGTCCAGTGGTTTCAAACTTCACACAGTAGTGTGTTGAAAAACATAATCTAGTCACATTTTTGTGAGATTCTCACACATTCTTCTGATGTGGGAACCTTCTTGGATAACTCCTCACAAGAAACCCAATCCTCACATAAATCTACAACAAAGAAACGTGAGTTTTGATGTGAAAATGTTTCCTAGCAACGAGATATAACAAGAGCAACCAGACATCCGAACCAATTTTGAAACTCAATCATAGCCACACGCTCCATATCATGTCACCGAATTTCCAACTAATTTTCTTTCTTACTCCGTTCTTTTTGGTCTGGTTTCAATAAAATAAAATTCTATTCGCAGCACCGAACATTCTCGGTCAATATTTCCATTTAACAACGCATTTAATGGCAGTGCGAACATATCCTTTAATACCATTAAATTGACTCCTTTCATACCTTTTTTTTCCTCTTCATCCAGTTGCGGGGTGCTTATTAATTTATTTCGGAAGGAGAAACTGCCTTCATCTTCAACCTCGAGAAAGCATATCTTGCGTATCATTGCCCTGCCATAAATTTTATTATTTTTAGTATGCAAAGAGTGTGAGATGATGTTTAGGCATAGAAATAATATTTTACTTATGAAAGGTGAAAGCTTTCATGTTTTTCTGCCTGCCTTTGGTATGAGAGAGAGAATGGCAATAATTTCTAAAAATTTTACAGACGCTCGCATCATTGTTTGGGTTTCTGACGTATATTATTGTCTTTAGTTTATTCCTGACGCACGAGCTTTATTTTCTTTCTTCTTGTACTTTCCGAACTGAGAAAAAAAGCTTAGCCGAAGATGACTCAGTCGAAGATGAGAAGAAGTTTTCATTTATTCTATTTTGCGTGCTTGAAGTTCGCAAGTAAAACAGGCCACCTACATTATTTTACATCCATTTTCAACCCGGTTGTTGCCTGTTTTGCTTACATTATGAATTTATTTATTGTTCATGCCTGTAATTTGTGAGAATTCTTCACACTGTAGGAATTCTTGTGTTTATATGTGCTACATTTATGCGCAATATTTCTTTCTGTTTGTCCTATTTGGAGTGAGCATTTGAATTCCTGCCATAATTTTGGAGTATTCGTGTGAAAATGCATGCACGCATTTATCAAAATTGATCATTTATATCGATTTATTTGAAGCATTCATTCTCATTCTAAGATAGAATTGAGCACTTAAAATTGATGTAATGTTATGGTTCTATCCTCAATTTTATTTGCTTTATTCTCAATAAATTCAAATCGATTGGTTTAATGCATGCTTAAAACCAACATAATTGATTGCCTGGTTCGCACTAGTGTGTCGCGAAAATCTTTAGATGAATTGCAGGAAATTAATCATTACTGCATTAAGTGGACTAATAAATTTTACACTTAAAAGAAACCAAGGCAATTATATCAAAGCTCAATTGAGCTTTTTGTGCGTCTAACATCAAAACCATTAACTATTGCCCACAATAAATTCCGATAGTAAATTCCTCAATTACATCCATTCATGTATGTACAAAAACAGCTTTTTTATGCCTTTCGTTGTTATAGTAATTGAAGTATCAGCAGAAAATGGTTTGATGATTCATAAAAATAGTCATAAATATCCTCAGCTCACAAAAGAAAAAGGATCTAAAGTTATTTTCCACAAAACACCGGACGAAATGTAAATTTGATAATGCCTGGACCTTTTTGACTAGTTCAATTTTCATTATATTTTATATATTTTCGATTTCTGTTGTCACGACAGAAAGGATCAAAAAAAAAGTTATAAACATGAAATGGAGGAAGGAAGAGAGCAGAAAAAAGTTTTCATTTTCATAAAAATGAATATTTTATGACGTTTGGATATCCAACAGTCTCTCTCATTCTCTAAACTATCATTCTTCTCAATTTTTGATGATGTCTGCGCAGAGCTTTTACGAAAGCTTCAAGCTATAGCGCAGGTTTTCTCTTTGGTATAGAGTGAAAAAATTTCCGAGTTTTCATTTCGTATTTAACTTTAGATTGTAAAGGACTTATAGCTATTTAATTCTTAGAAAATGTGAAATATAAAACAATATTTTGGATTATTTCCCATCAATATTGGTGAAAAAAGTTGTATTTAGTTAAGAAATAGTAAGTGGATATCCAGTAACTAGTGAAATAAAGTCTCATTGAACTTGTACAGAATTCAAGGATGAACCAACGATTTTTTCCTTGAAGAAAATGTGTATATTGCGTGTTAGTCATACAATAAAGGCCGAAAAATCTGCGTAACAAAAAAATTGTTTGCTTAGCCATAGCTATCAAGTTACTGATTATATGAAAATTATTCATGTGACGCAATTTGAAAAAATAGAATAACAACAACAATTTAGTTCAATATTGAATCGAAACTTCCAATATGGATTTTTTCCCTCATCCTGCCTGCAAAAGAGCTTGAAATTATGCAATGAAATAAAAAAATATAACTTATTGGATCTTAGACGACTCCCATGACGATCAAAGATGAAAAGAAAATTTTACATCGCAGAAGATGAAAAAATAAAATTTCTCATTTGATGCCAACAACTATTGACGATGACGTCATAACAACTCCCCCACATCCACCACACATATCGATTTTCTCCATTCTCAACCATAAAACTTCGGGGATTTCCATTCGCTCTCTCAGTTTTTCTCTGAATATGAAACAAAAGCCGAAAGTGGATATAACAAGCACAACAACAAAATTGTTGTGTTTACAGGAATAGAAAAAAATTTCTTTATTAATGCAGTCGGGCTTTTTTCTTTCGGATTTCTCTCATTATTCTCTCAAAGCTTTATGCTTCACAAAATGCCGTTGCGCTATTCAAGTGAACTACATTCTTACTCTGATTAAGTATTAACTGTCGCCTAAAATCCTAACCCATACTACGCGAAGCTCAATGCAAGAGCCCTCAAATAAAGTTGAACGAAAAGCAAATTATGAGTATGATTCATAAAATAAATGTGGCGCCGGTCTTTGTGTGCTTTCATTTTCATTCATAAGTTCTGTGCTGTAGAATATTTCATTTCTAATTAGCCATTTTCTTTTCCCCTTCCATATAATCTAGGCTTCAAACTTAACGTAAAAATATTCAAGGATATAAAGAAGAAAAAAAAACTTTTTAAGGATTAGCAAGGACATCAAATTCATCAAGGATAAGAAAAACAAACATTTAAAGAGCAAAAATGTCGTCAGTTAAAGTAGCAGTTCGCGTGCGTCCCTTTAATTCGCGAGAAATTTCGCGCGATTCAAAATGTATCATTGAAATGTTTGACAACACAACGGCTATAACGAATCCTAAAGCACCACCAGGAAGCAGTGACTCAACTAAGAGATTTAATTTTGATTATTCTTACTGGTCACACGATGTAAGATATTGACTATGACAATTGTGAATCAAAGTTGTATGTTGCTTGGGAATATGAATGACTTTTTCTAACTTAATAGGTTGTTCCGACCATACCAAGTTTTATTGACCATACAAGGTCAAAGATACTAGCCCGAGTGTGATGTTTAATCCCTTAATCGCATATTCTTAGATTTCTAGACTAATCTACATCAAATCTGACTCAGATACAGAAAGATCAAACTACTAAGCTAGATATAGCTAACCTAGATTCATTCGATACCCAAGATACCATCTCTGATTTGCAAAATGACAATGAAAATGAATCTTGACACTTTTAATTAAATTTCCTTACTCTATAGCAAGCGGATTCACACTTTGCAACACAAGAAATGGTATATTCTGATATCGGTGAGGAAATGCTTCAGCATTCATTCGATGGATACAATGTTTGTATCTTTGCTTACGGTCAAACCGGTGCTGGAAAGTGAGTGTAATTTTATGACTTTGTAATTCATTAATTCTAACGATTCTTTTATGTAAAAGGTCATACACAATGATGGGACGACAAGAAGAAGGTCAGGAGGGAATTATTCCGATAGTTTGTAAGGATCTCTTTAAGAAAATTCAAGATACGACTTCCGATGATTTGAAATACACTGTTGAAGTCTCGTATATGGAAATTTACTGTGAACGAGTTCGTGACTTATTAAATCCAAAGAATAAAGGAAATTTAAAAGTTCGAGAACATCCTGCATTAGGTCCATATGTTGAGGATCTCACAAAGCTTGCAGTGATTTCATATGAAGACATTCATGACATTATTGATGAAGGAAATAAGGCAAGAACTGTAGCGGCAACAAATATGAACGAAACGAGTTCAAGATCTCATGCCGTCTTTACAATTTTCTTCACTCAAACTAAACAAGACAGCTTGACTGATTTAACTGCAGAAAAGGTATCAAAAATCAGTTTGGTCGATTTAGCTGGAAGTGAACGAGCTGACAGTACTGGAGCAAAAGGTACACGACTCAAAGAAGGTGCAAATATCAACAAATCCTTGACAACTTTAGGAAAAGTTATCTCAGCACTAGCAGAAGTTGTAAGTCAAAAACTTTCATAATTAAATTATTTGAAAAGCTAATTTCCTTTTCTATATTCACATCCAGTCTGCACAGAAAGGAAAGAAATCAAAGAAAGCTGACTTCATTCCATACCGTGACTCGGTATTAACATGGCTCTTACGTGAAAATCTTGGTGGAAACTCAAAGACTGCAATGATTGCAGCAATTTCGCCTGCAGATATTAATTACGATGAAACATTATCAACTCTCAGATATGCGGATCGAGCCAAACAAATTGTATGCAAAGCTGTCGTTAATGAAGACGCTAATGCTAAACTTATTCGAGAACTTAAAGAAGAAATTCAGAAACTTCGAGATTTATTGAAGACTGAGGGAATTGAGGTTGAACAAGGTGAGTTAATAATCATAAAAATAAGACAGTGTCAAATTGAGCAATTCCGATTGGATGATTCCTCAGATGAGATGATGCAATATGCAATCGATTCGAGAACAATCCAAAAAATTTTATTGTTATTCATCTGAGTGAATCGTCCAAATGTAAAACTTTGTTATATTCAATGATAAAAGAAATGAAATGAAAAAAAAAAATTCAAAATTATATCGCACACCTTTCTGGTTCAATTGGATTCATTTGGCAAGCAATCAAAAGTACTAGATCTTATAATGCAGAAGAACTTATTTAATATTATATAACGAGTTTTCCATAATATAATTTAATGTTGTGATATAAGACAATCAATTTCATAATTCTATAATATCCTTCGTTCAGGCGTCGAAGTGAGAGTTATAAGTAATGAACGGCCCTCCGTTATCGGCAGGGAAAATAGCAGTAAGTAATATGAGTTGAAATCAACATTTGAAACACCTTAAATTTTTTTGATTATAATCAAATTGATCGCTCGCAATTCCACTCGAAGTAATTTATTTTGCCAAAATAGATCCATTTATCGCCTTTTTAATGCTTTAAAGCGCAAATTTTTTAGTTTTTTGTTTCTTAAAAATCTATTTTTCAGAGATTAGAATCAGCTCTAATCCCTGAAAATTAGTTGTTTGCGAAATTCATACTAATCTAATCAATTTATATTCAATTTTGTTACGTTTAGGAGACGATGAATGTAATAACAACGTTCCGACTCCAAATGATAAACAAACGGATTATAAGCGTGAGAAGCCAATGCGCTCAACGTCAACAACAGAGACAGAAATGGCTGTGGATCAACTTCATGCTAGTGAGAAGTTGATTGCAGAACTTAATGAAACGTGGGAAGAAAAGTTGAAGAGAACTGAAGAGATTCGTCAGCAGCGTGAAGCTGTTTTTGCTGAAATGGGTGTTGCTGTTAAGCCTGGTATGTGAAGCATCATGTTGTGCTTTCGATTTTTATGTCTAATTAATGATTTGCTTTGTTTTTCCCAATAGATGGAATAACAGTTGGAGTTTTTAGCCCAAAAATGACGCCACATCTTATTAATCTCAATGAAGATCCAACATTGTCAGAATGTTTACTTTATTACATAAAGGACGGTGTCACAAAATTGGGTACTTCCGAAGCAGAAATTCCTCAAGACATTCAATTGTCAGGCTCTCACATTCTTAAAGAACATTGCATCTTTCAAAATGACAGTGGCATTGTCAGTATAATTCCAAAAGAAGAAGCCCTCATTTTCATAAACGGAAGGAAAGTCATCGAAACAGAAGTTCTAACAACCGGATCAAGAGTTATCTTGGGTCGAAATCACGTTTTTCGCTTCCAACATCCGCAACAAGCGCGTGAAAAACTCGAACAAAAACTTTTAGAAGAACCGTTGAGCAATGAAGAAGCAAAGGAAGAGACTAAAGATGAAGTCGTTGATTGGAATTTTGCCCAATGTGAATTGCTCGAAAAGCAGGGCATTGATCTTAAAGTTGAGATGGAAAAGAGGCTAGTTGCACTTGAGGCACAGTTTAAGCGAGAAAAGGAAGAAGCTGATCAACAATTTGAGGAACAGCGTAAAACTTATGAAGCGCGCATTGATGCACTTCAAAAGCAGGTTGAGGAACAATCAATGACTATGTCAATGTATAGCAACATGACTTCTGCAACAGATGATTTTAACAATAAAATGTTGGACGACGGGTTTGATGATGAAGAAAACAGTATTTATGGTAAGGCTCTTAATCTTCTTGTGTCTTTTATAAGCCTAACATTGTTTCATTATCCTTCCAAAAAAAAAACAAAAAAAAAAATCTAGAAAATCCACTTTGTGAGTCATGGACAATTAGACAAATCGATTTAGCAGCGTGTGTATTTAAGAAATGGAAAAGTCATAAATTCACATCACTTCGAGACGATTTGTGGGGAAATGCAATCTATCTCAAGGAAGCGAATGCCATTTCTGTGGAATTAAAAAAGAACGTTCAATTTCAATTTACATTGCTTTCAAATACATTATATACACCATTATCGAACGATTTGAAGGACAAATCTGAGAATCCATCACGAACAGTTGTCTCTGTTGAGGTAAATGATCAAAAAAATGGTGCCATTCATTATTGGTCTTTGGGAAAATTGAAGCAACGTTTGGATATGATGCGCGAATTATATCATAGTGATGGAGAGTCATATGACTATAATGTTGAGTCATTAATTGGATATGATCCATTTTATGACAGATTTCCATGGTTCCGTGTTATTGGACGATCATTTGTATATCTCAGTAATTTACTTTATCCCATACCATTAGTACAGAAAGTTGCTATTGTAAATGAGTCGGGAGACGTTAAAGGCTATCTTCGTGTAGCCGTACAAGCTGTTTTTGACAATGATGGACACATAATTAATAATCATAATAATTTAAATAATAACAATAATATTAATATAAACATCAACAACAATAATATAAATAATAATAATAACAACAACAACAACAATAATAATGGAATGGCAGTTAATCAACTAGCACGAGTAGTTTTTAGTGATGGCACGAAATACAGCTATGATGAGAGATTCATCGAAGAAAACGGAAATGATAATGACGATGGAAAGATGGATAATGACGATGATGATGACACAATCGGAGAGCATTTAAAAATTGGCAGTGAATTTAAATTCCGAATTATTGTATTACAGGCTTACGACATTCCAATCGAATATACAGACATTTTCTGTCAATTTAATTTCCTTCATTGTGAAGAGGAAACATTCTCAACCGAACCGATAAAGAATAAGCATGATAAGCCAATTGGCTTTTATCACATCCAAAACTTAACAGTTAAAATCACAAAGAAATTCATCGACTACATAAAGAATCAACCAATAGCATTTAAAATCTATGGACATTTTAATAGCAATCATAAGAATGGAACAACAGTCATTTCAGCTAAGCAGCAAACTCGTGCTCCACCAAAAAGGCTTCAATTGCCAAGTATCACAATGAGTCAGCCTATTCGTAGCACTAAGTTTACACAATTTGCCATGTCACCAACAACAGAACGTAAAACGCCATCGTCTCCAACAACAACAGTCTTTACTAAACATGATATTCTTGTGTGGTTTGAGATTTGTGAATTGGCACCAAATGGAGAATATTTACCGGTTCCTGTTGATCAATCTACTGGAAGTTTCTTATTACATCAAGGTAGCACATTAAATTTTCAGCACTTAAATGAAAAATTACTTAATTATTCATCTTATTTAGGCATTCAACGACGAATTCGAATTACAATCGTACACGAACCCACAAATGAGTTGAAATGGAAGGATATTCGAGAAGTTATTGTTGGGCGTATACGTAATACTGCTGAGTCTTTCGACGAATTCGATGATGCTGGTGCATTATCGTTAGGAATATTCCCTGGTGAATTGCTTGAGGTTCGTAATGACGACCGAACATTCTACCAATTTGAGGCCGCGTGGGATTCAAGTTTACATAATTCAAATTTGCTTAATCGTGTCACGCAAAATGGCGAAACTATTTTCATTACTTTAAGCAGCTATCTTGAGGTAAGGTTATCATGAATTCATGTCCTCGACTATTATTAATGGTTTCTTTTTATATAACAGTTGGAGAATTGCTTGAGACCTGTGATTATTACTAAGGATTTAAGTATGGTTATTTATGGACGTGATGCACGCATTGGACCACGATCATTAAAGAGTTTATTCTCTGGACGATCTGGAACAACCAACAGATCAAGTGCAATCTATGAACTTTCTCTCAAATGTGCTAATAAAGCAGGATCACCAGGTAAATTGTTTAAATCTTTTGTATATCTTCAATATGCTCAAAAATTTTGTTTATTTTAATGCAGGCGTTCAAAGACGTCAACGACGAGTCCTTGACACAAGCACAACATATGTTCGAGGTGAAGAAAATCTCAAAAACTGGCGTCCACGAGGCGATTCACTTATTTTCGATCATCAATGGGAATTGGAGAAGCTTACACGCTTGGAAATGGTTGAACGTGTTAGATATTTGTTATTGCTACGTGAGCGTTTAGGATTGGATGAATTACAAAATAGTAAGAATGATAAGAATGTAAACAATATGATTGCTCGAGATGCTGACAGCAATGTTGATGACGAAGACATGCTACCATCAGATGTTGAGGATGAAGATTTGGAAGAAGTTCCAGAAGACAGTGAAGTAAATGAGCGACAAAAGGGATTAATTGCAAAATGTTTGAAACTATTGGCATCCGATATAACACAACAATCAAATAGATCAATCGTAACGCCAGTCACACCAATATCAAGTACTGACGAAAATAGTAATATGTCAATCAGTCAATATTCAATCAATTCTGTCAGCACACCTTCCTTGACTGAAATATCAAATGAATGGCATCCACAACATAAGCAAATTGATCATAAGACAACAAATGACCACATTCAGTACTTTATTCCTGACTTGGAAGAGATCTTAACGAGTTCAATGGTCACGAGAAAGGGTTACTTGAATGTTTTAGAGCACGGCTGCTCGGGATGGAAGAAGAGATGGATTGTTGTACGAAGACCCTACATTTTCATATATAAATCTGACAAGGATAATATCGAACGAGCTGTTTTAAATCTCACAAATGCTCAAGTCGAATGTTCGGAAGATCAAATGGCAATGATTAAAATTCCAAACACATTTAGGTAAGTGAAGTCAATGAAAGTTTAGATACAAATGTGGAAATAAGTATCCAATTTAAAAGATTTATGAAAGAATCGAAATAATAATGATGTTCTTCATCTTCCTTATTTCTTTTTGCAGTGTTGTTACAAAATATCGTGGTTATTTACTACAGACATTGAATGAAAAAGAAGTTTATGATTGGCTGTATGCCATAAATCCACTCTTGGCTGGAAGAATTAGGTGAGGAAAAAAAAATTATTGCTTTAAAATAATCTATGTCACTAAATAAGCTCTTTTTTTGTTTCATCTAGATCGCATTTGGCACGACAAAATATTGATATTGCTTCTTCACCGACAAGAACTGTCACTTGTACTACTACGGGTACATCAGCCGCTCAAAAATTCATCATTAATCGACAGAAACTATTTGCTATGAGCAAATGAGATTCGCTGACGATGGAATCTGTGTTAATTTAATTCCACCAACAAAGTAATATGAAAAATGTCAACATTCCTTTAAAAAAAGTATTAGGAGAAGTGAGATGATGGAGAATTTTTAAATTAAACTTAACATAAAAAATAATGATCTGTTTATTCGTCAATTTTGTAATATTTCTCTATCCATTGCTATCCTTTAAAAATAATAATTAACCATAATTATATCCGGGCATATTATTGACTAACAAATAATAATCATTATGGTCCAAAAAAAGAACAAAAAAATACTTAAAGGCATGGCTTAACTAAAAATCAAGCAAATTTTTTCCTCCTTTGCTGTTATTTAACACATATTCCATCGCATGACTTACTTATAGACAAAAAAATGAAAGAAAATAAACTTAAATGAAATCTCTAGATTAAAATCTCAAAATTTAAAAATGAATATAATCCATTATAAGATCTGTATAGATAAAAATTACTATCTTTTCTTCCAAAGTTAAAGACAAAAATTATCCGTATTGAAAGACAAACAAAAAAAAAATTCATTTCAACGCAACGCTTTTGCCACACCATAACTCTATATCTTTCCTACTATTTGACCCCAATTTATCGTCAAAAAAGAAGGCTAGGGGTAAAGTGGGTTTGGATCTAAGCTTTCAAACTCGGATTAAAGTTTTAATCGTTGAATAAAATTTTAATTCAGTAAACAGCTGCTGGGGATATCCTTGATGTATATAGCAAGCTATTCTTTAGTTCTAGGTGTGGTATATACCCTAAGAATTAATGGTAGTGCATATCCTAGACATAAGAGAAGTGTATGCCTCAGGTTATATCAAGTAGCTGACACTAGGTTTATTGGATAAATTCTATCAAGATTTTCTAGTTTTTAATGAATTAAAAATGCCGTAAAGTCACACATTCCATGCTTGAGATCACTCCCCAACCCCCTACGAATCTTATTGAAAATATCACGCTTTTTATGATGATAAAGAAACATTTAAAAATGAAAAGTAAAAAAAAATCCTGCAAAAATTAAAATGTTAAAGGCATATGTATAACTTATCACCTATAATGCAATTTTTTTTAGGTTTTTAGGGCTATGAGCATAAAATTATGGGACGTAAATGGAAAAAATCGATTAAAATACTGAAAGTATTAAATTAATGTAAAACTGGGTCCCTTTAAAAATAAATAAATAACTCAAAGTAATTGTTTTTAATGTAAATTATAAATGATATACAACAATTATTATTATTATTAAAATTTATTGGTATTTAAAGTAGAAGAACAAATGGAAATCAACCCATAAAGTATTTTGTAAAGTAATATTTGCATAAATTTCCTTTTTTTTATTTATTGCTATTTAATTTAATGATATTTTAAGTATCTACATTTACAAATTTAAGCCACAATAAAATAAAAGACGACAAAACAAAATTTCTAGACGAGAAAGTAAGATATTATGATTTGCTGTGATTATTTTTAGTTCTTAGCCATTATTTTACTAAGTTTTTTATAAAATATTAAATCATTTATCAGCAGCATCTCATTAGACTCAATTTTTGGTTCTCTTCGTGAATTTATTTTCGATCAAAAAAAAATGGAAAATTGAAAATTTTAGCTTTAAATCTTTGAACTCGAAAAACAAAAAAAAATGATAAATTGTTAATGTGGAGTATAAAAAGAATTATATTTTTGGCATATTAAGTGCAAAACCTTTCTGACGGTGAAAACTGTTTTGTTTTCCGCAAAAGTATTTATTTACTACAGCAGAAACATTGATATTAATAAAAGTAAAACAAATATTTAATTGGACAAAAACAATTAATGCCTCGATTTATTATTTTTTTATGATATTTTAAATAAATTTAAATCTTTTCTAATTTCAGATACTTTCGTTACAATGGTCATAATGATTCTGTTAGCTCATTCATTTGTGATAATTTTTTTTTTATCTTTTATCTTCTTAAATATACATACAAATGGAAATAATGCCATAAAAAATTATCATTCAAGCAATTATGTCAATTTAGTGTCAATTTTCATAATTCAGAGCTGGTAATTGATAGTTGTATATACGGTTGTAGGCAGAAGGAGGAGGTCTAATAGATGTTTTCGTATATTGTCAAATTTTGGAAAGGGGCCGTTCACTTATGATGTCCAGGGGGGTAGCTAGAAAAAAACAATAGAAATTCAAAGAAATCTATTGTTTTTTTTTGAAAAATTATATTTAATTTTGGGCGTCATAAATGAACGACCCTAAAGGGATTGAATTGATTTTTCAATACAAATATCAATCTAAAGACATTAGTAAGTTTGGGTTTCATGGGGAAACGAATCCTGAATGTCATTTTTCCCCAATTTCGTTCAGTTTTTACTCCATATCTTTTAATAATTCTAGGAACTTTGAGTATTTCAAGTCATTTACAGATGAAACAGTTGTTCAATTTTATTGACTATTTATCAAGGGTCAGACACTCCAACAGAATTGTAAAGATTGTACAATTCTTCACAATCCATATGGAAGAATTGTAAAGATTGTACAATCCTTACAATCCTTACAATCTTTATATGAGAAGGATTGTAGGGATTGTAATCCGTACAATCCTTATATGGAAAGGATTGTAAAGATTGTAATTCTTACAATCCTTTCCATATAAAGATTGTAAGGATGAAATAAATGTATGGAACATTTAAAAATGTTTTTCATTGGTTATTAGAGAAGAAATATTAATTTAATATTAAAAATTTATTTGTTTGAATTTAAAGAACGAAATAAACTTGATATATCAATTCTGTCCGTTGTAAAACTACGCAGATGGTCATGCTTAAACCAGGGTGATTTAAATCAAAAATCAAATTCAAAATATTTTTGCAATGATTTTAAAAAAAGGATTTTGATTTTAATCATTTTTTCAAAGGGATTGTTTTTTGGATTTTGATTTAAATCTCTTGTATGAAAGATTTTATTGGGATTTTAAAATCCCTCCATGTAAAATTTTTGTATTCAATTTCTCAAATTATTTTTCAAATCAACAGTTTTCAGTTGCAGTTCCTAATAAGTAAGAATGCAGTTGATCCTTTTTTGGCCTGAATCTTGCAACTGGATCTTTTAGATCCAAATATTTCTTAATTAATGGTTACAGCAATGGTTCCATGCTGTTTGACTTAAACGAAATCCAATTTGTGATTTTTTATCTTCTGTGCCTTGCTGCTTGCATATAAACAACTAGACTTCATCAAGCATGCCTGGATCTTCCTTTATATGAGGATTTACATGCTTTAAATCCTTTAAAAAACTTAAACATATTTTATTACACCACATTAGTTTAATGAGTCATAAGCAAGAATAGGCACTTGAACTGCCTAGTTCCTTTACATCCACAAAAAAATTTTTTTTTGTTGCTTTTTCATCAAGGATTCACCTCTTGAAATCAAAATTTTTTTGCGGAAATGGCCGGTTCCTTTCGTACATCAAGGCACAGAAGATAAAAAATCACGAATTGGATTTCGTTTCAGTCAAACAGCATGGAACCATTGGTTGCTGTAACCTTTCTTTAAGAACTGCTTGGATCTAAAAGATCCAGTTGCAAGATTCTGGCCAAAAAATGATCAACTGCATTCTTACTTTAGGAACTGCAACTGAAAACTGTTGATTTGAAAAATAATTTGAAAAATTGAATACAAAAATTTTACATCGAGGGATTTTAAAATCCCAATAAAATCGTTCATACAAGAGATTTAAATCAAAATCCCAAAAAAAAAAAAAAAATCCCCATACAAAAATGATTTAAATCAAAATTTCTTTTAAAAATCATTCCAAAAAGATTTTGATTTTTGATTTAAATCACTCACCCTGTTCACCGGTTTAAAAATTATACTTTTAACAACTTTTTAATGAGTTGAAATGTATAAAAAATCATTCGAATTGATTCACGGTAAATTATTGCATTTTAAATATAATTGTTTTCAAAGAAATTTCTGACTTTCTTCATTTTTTGTATTTTATCTTATTTTTTAAAAATAAATGGACATTGTTTTTTGTTTAGTAAGGATTGTACAATCCTTACAATCCTCACATAGAAAGATTGTAGGAATTGTACAATCCTTACAATCCTTATATGAAAAGGATTGTAGGGATTGTAAGGATTGTACAATCCTCACAATTCGTATGGAAGGATTGAAAGGATTGTACAATCCTCACAATTCGTATGGAAGGATTGTAAGGATTGTACAATCCTTAAAATTCTGTTGGAGTGTCTGACCCTTGCTATTTATTTTAAAACTATATAATCAAATATAATCTCAATTGTGGTAATTAATGATCTCGAAATTGAACAGGGACTAAAATGTATGAAAAAAATCACTCATTTCAATGAGTAAAAAAATCATGATTTTTTCCATCCTGCGTACATTATTACGTAGAAAAAAAATCACGTAAGAAAAATTTTTACGTAGAATTTGATCACGTAATGATTATAATTACGAAAAAAAATTTTCATCAACACAAATTTCATCTAAAAATAAATATTTCAAATTTTTCATAAATTTTTCAACTAAATGTGAAGTGCTTATTACTGCTAATAGTTTATTCAGGTATTGCAACGATCAGGTATGGATATAATAACTAATAAAGGAGGTAATGACATAAATTGGACAAAAATTAAAAAAAATTCAATAATTTTAGGAGAACATTAAGGTAAGAATCAGTGAACTAATGCCTTACTATATTTTAATTAAGTTAAAATCTATTTAAGCGAGTATCTGGTTGTTTAAATGACAGATTAAAATATCATTATCCATGGAAGAAGCTTAATTAAAGCGCAAGTGACTTAATAGTGATGAAGTTCTACGTAAAAATTTTTCTTAAGTGATTTTTTTCTACGTAATAATGCTCGCAGGATGGAAAAAATCATGATTTTTTTACTCATTGAAATGAGTGATTTTTTTTCATCAAAGATTTTTTTCATACATTTTAGTCCCTGAAATTGAATGATGAAAATAAAATTAATGATTTAATCCTTTTAAATATTCTAAATACAGAAAAACACTTTTAAATCTTCGCTTTGTGCTAGCTGTTTCAAACTTATTGAGAATATAATTGCTTATGGGCAATTCTCAATAACATGCACTCAAATTACTTAGCTATGGCTTGAGAAATTCATGGTTTTAATTTTAATATTTGGTAGTTTTTTTAGGAACTGTCCCCAAATTACTCTGTTTCACTTATGAAATTTTTCGTAGAATCCAAATTGCAGCTTAATTAAGGCTTCCACAAATATGATTTTTACATCGTTTTTAAGCTTTTACTTTAAGCTATAACTTTGTATACTTAGTAAAACTGGAAATTTTACCACTTTAAAGATATTAATGAAAACATTTTGGAAATTTGGGCGAAAAAATTCGTGTGAAACAGAGTAATTTTTCGTAGAATGTAAATAATTCTTTAATTAACCATTTTTAATTTGTTTGGGTGAGAACAATATGTAGATATCGGTAAAATCTACTGTTAAATACATGAAACATGGGGAGTAATGCAACTGATAAAGAGAAATATAGATTTGGAGACAAATTTGTAGAAAAAATCATTCGTAGAATCACCCTTATTTAACAAGTTAATTGTTGCTTTTAATCAACTTTAACTATGAATTTGTTTCATTTTTTTCTCTAAATATAATAATCATTTCTTGAAGTTCCAATCAAACAGCTTTGATTCAAGAATGAAGATCTGATTGAACTGACTTTCCATAATTTTTAACAGTTCTGCGTACTTAAGTATAGCCAAATTATTAAATTCCTGACAAATCTGCTTTTTAAAGACAATTGCATTTTAATTGCTCTTTGGATTTTTAATCGTTTTGTTTAAGTCATCAATTAATCAATTATTTTAAGGGCAATTCTTTGGATGAGTGGAATTTGAAAAAAATGAGCTTTCATAATCCAATGTCAATGAGTTTTGGTTCGAAAAAATGTTTTCGTTAATTTCATATTACTAAGAAAGATTAATAAGCTAGAACTTTCGTAGATCATAAAACATAATTAATTCTTTATAAATGATCTATTAATATGTTACAACTCACCCAAATTAATTGAAAAATGAAAAAATATGTTTGAAAATTTTGTATTTTTTCACGGATTAAGACAAAAAAAAAGCTTTTTTATAACTCGATGACACAAGGAAATTTTTCAAAGAATCGAAATATTACATTAATTAGTAACTTAAAGCACACAGAAAAGCAACCTAATTAAAGATTTTTGTCTGTTCTATAACTCAGTAAAAGTTATTCAATGTGTATATCAATAGTTTTCTCTAATTTTCGATTCCTCGGATAATGAAAATTGAAAATTCCGATTTCTGTCATCGAGTTATTGACTAAAGAATCCAAATAACTTAATTATTACAGCGATTAGAAGTATATGATATCAAAAGTAGTGTACATTTTAGATTTTTACATCGATAAGAATCATAAAATCAGTGTCTCTGATGGGAAAAATCAATAAAATTTCGATTTTTTGCTTAAAATTTTCCAAAAGTCATCCAAAGAATTGCCCTTAATAGCTTTGATGGTGAAATTATGTCTGGGATGCAAGTATCGGTTTTCAGATTTTTAATAAATTAGTCATACTGAATATTTCCGTTCTGATTCCTATCAATCACCAACCCTGATTATAGTCAAATGAAGTCATTATAATGACAATTTAATGTTTTAAGTGTAAATAATAAGAAGATTTTCTCAATGTCATTTGGAATGAACACTTGAAAATACACATGCTGGTTATTTATGTAAATAAAAAAATAATTCGATTTTCCACTTTTTTTGGCTTATGAGATTACTTAAAATTATTAACAAAACTATAATAAAAATTCGGCAGTATGCGATAGGTGTTGTATGAAAATAATATAATAAACTTAATTGGTTTAGTATGTATTACTAATTTTACTTGATTCTTATACTGATAACAGCTATTTCACGATGGTTATATTAAATAACTTTGCAGTGAATGGCAATAAGACGGAATAATTGAATGCAAATTGAGCGAGAAAGATGAGAAATAGGAAAACATCTAAAACAGACACAAAAGTATTTAAATACAGTTAATAATGAATATACTTATATTTCTTGGAATGTACCAAAGCTAGAGATCTAAAATAAAGATACTTACGTATTGCCACTCGCTCCCATGGCTCTGTCATGTATAGTTCTGTCACCATGAGATATCGGAAGAACCTGAATTAAATAAGAATCATTAAAACCATCGATTTTTATGGTAAATAGAATTTTTGTGGGAAATTTATGTATTTAAATAATTTACCAATAATTGATGAATTTCAGAACGCTATTAAGACGACTTTTAATCATATTTTATCTCCAGAATCGTCCTATTTACTGAGTTGTCTTATTAATTATTTTATTTTCTCGATAGTTATTTTTTACGGTATAAAAATTCAGAGTTGTTTCAAAGGTCACTGCCGAGCTGAAACTTTATATATCCATGCTAAAGAGTAATTATGGAATCTGTGTCATTCTGCTTACTCATTTTAACAAATTCAAACCATCTTATCAAACATGGATATCGAATGTCATCAACGATTAATAATTCTATCAATTATCAAGCAATCAAAATCAACAACCCTGTTTAGTCAATTGAGAAGCGAAGATTCAAATATTAAAAAGTCGTTGTAATGATGCGAGAAGTTTGAGAATCTCAGGAAATAGTTTTGGAGTTTCATTAGTAAAATCTCGTGAAGATCACTTCATAAGACCTGCGTGAGTATTCAATGCTGCAATATTAAATGCTTAATTAGAAAACAGAAAGTAAATAAATCAAATTTATATGGATTGAGCGTTAAATTAAAATGAAAATTTCTCAGAATTTTCCTTTGAATGATATTAGTGAAATTGCGAAAAAAATAAAACATCCAGCACAATTTTTCATGAAATTTATGATTAGTAAATTTGTTTATTTTATCTACTAAAGCGTTGAAATTTATGGAAATGTGAAAACCAAGAAAGCTCTGGGTCAAGCACAAATCCATTGTATGATTTTCCTTGTGAAAAATTTACGGGTTTTTTTTTCCATAAAAAAATTCTATTTAAACTAAAGTTTTTAACCAAGTTATTCAGTTCTATACTTTCAATACATCAATAGACAACTTTAGTTAAATTGAGTCTTTCAGAAACAATAGAATATTATGAGATACATAACTTTGATTTTACTAGTTTTAAAAACATTGAATTCTCAAGCTCACATTATTTCAATTGAGAATGGAAATATATCAGGCATAGAATATGATAAATATTTCGCATATAGGGGAATTAAGTATGCTACAGCTGGCAGATTTTCACTTCCAAAGCCTTTTGATGGTAAATGGTGTGGCATTAAAGACTTTAGAGATTATAGGGAATCATGTGCTCAATACGATCACTTGACTTATGAATTTAAAGGAGTGGAAGATTGTTTGTTCCTTAACGTGTTTGTGCCAAAGAAAGTGTTAGAATCTGAGGAACTCGCACCAGTTATTTTCTATATTCATGGAGGTAAGCTTGATGAAAAGTAATTTTTGTGACGCAACTCGGCTTATTGCAGAACCAATAAAACATAAATAAACTCTTATTCACAGGGGCATTTATGTTCGGAGGCAGTGCTGATTATTTACCCGATCATTTTATGGAAAATGAAAAAATGATTCTGGTCACTATAAATTACCGATTAGGCATTCTTGGATTTTTAAGTACAGAAGATGAAGTTCTTCCTGGAAATTTAGGAATGAAAGATCAAGTTGAAGCTCTCAAATGGGTACAGCGAAATATAAAAGCATTTAACGGTGATCCGGATAAAGTTACATTGTCTGGATTCTCTGCAGGTGGTGCTAGTGTTCAATTACATTATTTAAGTACCCAATCTAAAGGACTTTTCAAGAACGGAATATCACATTCAGGTAATGCTTTAGATCCCTGGGTGTTCATGGAAAATGCTAAGAGCAAGGCACATCAAGTTGCTGAATCCATGAATTGCCCTCATGATGATCATGGAAAAATGCTAGAATGTTTAAAACAAACGCCTACAAAAGAACTAGTAACGTTACTGAAAGAATTTCAACCATTCCTTTACAATCCATTTTCACCTTTCGGTCTTGTTGTTGAACCAGTACATGAATCAGCATTTCTATCTGAACATCCACGATCACTATTGGAAAGTGGAAAATTTTCTCATCTTCCATGGTTACTTACACAAACAAAAGATGAAGGTTTATATCCAGCAGCAGAATTTTATTCAAACGAAGAGTTTTTAGATGAAATTGATAAAAAGTTTGATGATCTAGCGCCGTACATTCTACATTTTAACGACGAAACTGACGACAAACGAAAACTTATTAAAGCCTCGTGCAGGATAAGAAAACATTATATGGAAGATAAGAAAGTCAGCAGAGAAAATTTTGAATTATTTGAGAATGTAAGTATTGTCAAAACTCGAAAATTTTAGATTAAAAATTTGATTTTTAAATCAGATGGTTACTGATCGTCTGTTTAAGTCCGGTGCATACGAAGCAATTCAATTGCAGTCAAAATACTCACCTTCGTTCTGCTATCATTTTGATTATAAGAGTAATTATAGCGTGGGAGAGATTTTGGGCAAATCAACAGATTTCTTAGGTATGTAGTTGATATTGTAGTTTAACAGTGCGTAGGCTAAATCTTAAAAAAAAATTAATAGGAATTTCACACGGTGAAGATATTTTCCTGATTTTTACCCATCTGAGACCGCATGTGTATTCAGAAGACGAGAAGAAAATGGCTCAAAACTTAATAAACATGTATTATGAATTTTCTATCAATAACTTGCCGAAATTTGATATTCAAGTAATCCATCAATCAACGCCCAATGCCACTCAGTATTTAGAAATATCATCGAATAAAAAATATGAAATGAAGTCGGATAAGTTTGGAAATGTAAAGTTCTGGAGGAATATTGAAAAGCTCCTACACTGCAATAAACCAAATATTTTTTTGACTTGTAATGGTCATTTTGATGATGAAAGTACTGGAAGCATTTGTTAAATTATGACTATCTTATCAGTGAAAATCATTATGGTGCAAAAGCGTTGCTTATTTATTTTAAATTGGAATGGGAATGAGTTGATCAAAGATCTGAGAATGTTTCAACAATGTAACAAAAACAAAAGGGGTCAAAAATTCGGTTCTGTGCAACTAATAATGAGTAAATTAATTTAACAAGTAATAAATGGTGTTTCTTTTTAAACGTAAATATTTATTACGATTTTTGATGAATTAGTCATCGTGATTATTTGTTTTTATTTTCTTGTCATTAAAGTGCAACTGATTCTTAATTCTGCTGACATTTTCATGAATTAGTGTACATCAGGGTACATCAATATAATATAAACAAAACCAGACAAAATCTAAATCATAATGGAATAATCATGGATCATTGGAAAGTTTCAGAAGAACCCTTAAAGTTGCTGAATGCATAAACTGTACTCATCAATTTTTTGAAAACTTAAAACTAAGACCTCCATAGGAACCTACCAACTCACTCTTACTTCAATGATTCATTATTATTTAAGAGTCATGACTGTAATCATGTATTGTAGATAATTTGATAAGACCTGCGTGAGTATTTTAAACTGATTGAAGTGATAAATGGCGCGAATGAATATTATCTTCCAAATTCGCTATCAATGTTCAGCTTATCGTTGTTAACGTTTGTTGTATTTGCTTGTTTTTTCAACAAGTGATTTAGTACAATACGTTCAATACATCAATCAACAACTTGCCAATTAGTTCTCAGTTTTTTTTAAAAATAAAGAAAACAATGAAGCAAATTATTTTGATTTTACTAGTTTTAAAAGCACTGAATTCTCAAGCTCACATTATTGCAATAGAACATGGAAAAATATCGGGCACAGAAAATGATAAATATTTCGCATATAGAGGAATCAAATATGCTACAGCTGGCAGATTTTCACTTCCAAAGCCTTTTGATGGTAAATGGTGTGGCATTAAAGACTTTAGAGATTATAGGGAATCATGTGCTCAATACGATCACTTGACTTATGAATATATCGGAGTGGAAGACTGCTTGTTCCTTAACGTGTTTGTGCCAAAGAAAGTGTTAGAATCTGAGGAACTAGCACCTGTTATTTTCTACATTCATGGCGGTAAGTTGTGTAAAATTTAATTAATTGAACAAATGATAAACTTCAGATAGTTAAATAAGTCATAATAAATTATCTCTTTATCATAGGTGCATTTATGTTTGGTAGTGGTGCTGATTATTTACCGAATCATTTTATGGACAATGAAAAAATGATTCTGGTCACAATAAATTACCGACTTGGAATTCTTGGTTTCTTAAGTACAGAAGATGAAGTTCTTCCTGGAAATTTAGGAATGAAAGATCAAGTTGAAGCTCTCAAATGGGTGCAGCGAAATATAAAAGCATTTAACGGTGATCCGGATAAAGTTACACTTTCTGGATTCTCTGCAGGTGGTGCTAGTGTTCAATTACATTATTTAAGTATGCAATCTAAAGGACTTTTTAAGAACGGAATATCACATTCTGGAAATGCGCTAGATCCATGGGTGTTCATGGAAAATGCTAGAAGCAAGGCACATAAAGTTGCTGAATTTATGAATTGCCCTCATGATGATCATCAAAAAATGCTGGAATGTTTAAAACAAACGCCTACAAAAGAACTAGTAACGTTACTGAAAGAATTTCAACCATTCCTTTACAATCCATTTTCACCTTTCGGTCTTGTTGTTGAACCAGCACATGAATCAGCATTTATATCGGAACATCCTAAAATATTATTAGAAAGTGGAAAGTTTAATAATCGTCCATGGTTACTTACGCAAACAAAGGATGAAGGTTTATATCCAGCAGCAGAATTTTATTCAAACGAAGAGTTTTTAGATGAAATTGATAAGAAGTTTGATGATCTAGCGCCGTACATTCTACATTTTAACGACGAAACTGATGACAAACAAAAGATTGTGAAAGCATCAAGCATGATAAGAAAGTTTTATTTAGGAGATAAGAAAGTCACCAGAGAAAATTTTGAATTATTTAAGAACGTAAGTGTTTGTCAACACTTGAGAACTTGTTTACTAATTATTTCATATCTCAATCAGATGCTCTCCGATCGTCTGTTCAAGTCCGGTGCATACGAAGCAATTCAGCTGCAGTCAAATTATTCGCCTTCGTTCTTTTATCATTTTAATTATAAGAGTAAATTTAGTGTAGGCGAAATTATGGGAAATACAACCGATTTCTTAGGTTAGTAGTTTATATAGGAATTGAACAATGCATAGAGTATAATTTGAACAATTTTACAGGTGTTTCACATGGTGAGGATATCTTTCTGATTTTCACCAATCACTTTAGACATTTCGACTACACAGAAGATGAGAAGAGAATGGCTCAAAATTTATTAAACCTGTATTATGAATTTTCTAGCAATAACTTGCCAAAATTCGATATTCAAGTAATCAATCCATCATTGCCTGATGCCATTCAGTATTTAGAAATATCATCGAATGAAAAATATGCAATGAAATTGGAGACTGAAAAGTTTGGAAATGTCAAGTTCTGGAGGGAGATTGAGAATCTCCTACATTCAAATGATAGAATTATTGATGAATTATAAGTTTAACAAGTAATAATAAATTGACTTTTTGACATTGAATTATTAACGATTGTTAAACTGGTAATGAAGTTACCGGAATTATTAACAATATCTTATCAGAGACACAGTTGCAGTATGTTCCAAAAAACTGGTTTCCATGCATTATTTAATAAATGAATAGCTTCATATTTAATTAAAGGGCTATAAAACTTATTATTTGAGTTAATCATATCTCACATTATTTGCTCATAGTTTTGTGATAACAACAAAGATTAAAATATTATCTTTAAATTATAACAGAACCATATTTTTTTTGCTCTATTAGTTCATAAACTTCTCTCGAGAAATCCACATCAATCTCGTTAATTTTTAAATTGAATAATTAACTTTAATTGATAATGAAGTTAATAATATTATTATTTTTAATTGTTTTAAAGTCCTTGAGCTCTGAAGCAAGTGTCATCAAAATAGAAAACGGAAAAATTGTAGGCATGGAGTACGAAAAGTACTTTGCATACAGAGGAATCAAATATGCAACAGCTGAGAGATTCTCGTTATCAAAACCGTTTGAAGAAAAGTGGAACAACATCAAACAGCTTATAGATTATAGTGAATCATGTGCACAGTATGATCATTTAAACTATGAATTTATTGGGGCAGAAGACTGTCTGTTTTTGAATGTATTTGTGCCGAAGAAAGTTCTAGATTCTAAAGAACCAGCGCCAGTGATTTTCTATATCCATGGAGGTGCATTTATGTTTGGAGGAAGTGCTTACTATTTACCTGAACACATCATGGATAATGAAAAAATGATTCTAGTCACAATAAATTACCGACTTGGAATTCTTGGATTCTTAAGTACAGAAGATGAAGTTCTTCCTGGAAATTTAGGAATGAAAGATCAAGTTGAAGCTCTCAAATGGGTACAGCGAAATATAAAAGCATTTAATGGCGATTCAAATAAAGTAACTATCGTTGGATACTCTGCAGGTGGTGCCAGTGTTCAAATGCATTACTTAAGTCAATTGTCAAATGGGTTGTTCAAGAATGGAATATCTCATTCTGGATCTGCATTAAATCCATGGGTGTTCATGGAAAATGCTAGAAACAAAGCACATAAAGTTGCTGAATTTATGGATTGCCCTCATGATGATCATCAAAAAATGCTGGAATGTTTAAAACAAAAGCCTACAGAAGAACTAGTCATGTTACTAAAAGAATTTCAACCATTCCTTTACAATCCATTCTCACCTTTCGGTCTTGTTGTTGAACCAGCACATGAATCAGCATTTATATCAGAACACCCACGAAAATTATTGGAAAGTGGAAAATTTTCTCATCTTCCATGGTTGTTTACACAAGTGAAGGATGAAGGCTTATATCCAGGTGCAGAATTTTACTCTAAACCGGAATATCTAGATCAAATTGATAAGAACTGGGAAAAGATAGCTCCAAACATTTTGCATTATAATGATGAAACTGATAATGTTGACAAACTTGCACAAGCATCCAGAATGATAAGGAAATTTTATATGGGAGATGAAAAAATATGCCGCAAAAATTTCAAATCATTCATCAATGTAGGAATTCTATTTATAAACAAAAACAGAAATTAATATTTCATAACTCAATATTCTCTTATCAGATTATTACAGATCGTCTTTTCAAGTTCAATGCCTTTGAGGCAATCCGACTTCAGTCAAAATATTCGCCTACATTCTTTTATCATTTTGTTTACAAAAGTTTGAGCGGGTTAAGTGAGGCTTTGAGTAAAACGACTGACGATTTAGGTAAGTTTTGTTGACATATCCGTCCGTTGATATGATGATGACAATGTTGGCTACTAGTATGCATGATTAAAACTCCTAAATCTGCTATTAAATAAGTTTTTGGATAAATATGTCTATAAAGGATACCAACAACTTTACTAAGGAAGTTTAGTAAGAAATTAAAATTTATAATAATTCTAGGTATTTCTCACGGTGAGGATCTCTTGCTAATATTCACTCATGACTTGAGAACGATTGAGTATTCAGAAGATGAAAAGACTATGGCACAGAACTTAATAAATATGTATTATGAGTTCTCAGTCAATGACCTTCCAAAATTCGCCTCGCTAGTTATTCATCCATCTCTTCCTGATGCTATTAAATTCCTTGAAATAACTTCAAATAAAAAGTATAAAATGAAAGCAGTAACTGAGAAGTTTGGGAATGTCAAGTTCTGGAGAAAGATTGAAAAGATTCTTCACTCGAATGAGAGAAGTATTGATGAATTGTAAGGTCTATAGGAGTTGTACACGTATGACGTCTAATAAAAGCGGAAGAAAAGAAGTTCTGGAACTAAGTGAGATTACAAAAGATATCTCTTTTAGTCAAGAGTTTGATAATCTCATTATTTGACGCACATTATTTATTAACAACCTTTTAGTTGACAGATTAAATATTAATGACTAAGTGAGGCAGTAGCCTTGACCTCTGATAACGTCTCATTTCATTATCAATGAATATTTTTGTAATTCTCTTTCATTTGTAACTTAAACTTCAAAGTGTTCACATCGAAATAAAATAAAAAAAGTAAAAAGTCATCATGGCACTGCTTGAGATGAAGTTTTGTATTTTATTGTTTTGCACTATCATGATGTTTGCCAAATTTCAGCCATCCATTTACTTGGATATACATGTCGTAAAAATTGAAAGCGGTCCGATAATCGGAGAGGAAAACTTGAATCATTTTGCATTTAAAGGAATCCCATATGCTGAGGCAAATAGATTTTCAGAAGCACGACCTTTTTCTAAACGATGGCATAGAATTTTAAGTTTCAATAAATTTGGAAATGTTTGTGCTCAATACGATCATTGGACTTATGGGTTTCATGGTGATGAAGACTGTTTGAATTTGAACGTTTACGTACCGAAAAGTGTAATTGAATCCGATGAGCTGTTGCCTGTAATTGTTTTTATTCATGGTGGTAAGTGATGTTCATCCTGTGTGTAATTGAATCTTTAATCCATTCGTTTTTGTTAAAGGTGCGTTTATGTTTGGTGGAAGTGATTTTTATGGACAGGATGCATTCATGAGAGAGCAAAACACGATTCTTGTTACAATTAATTATCGACTAGGCATTCTTGGATTTTTAAGTACAGAAGATGAAGTTCTGCCTGGCAATTTAGGATTAAAGGATCAAGTTGAAGCTCTTAAATGGATACAACGAAATATTGAAGCATTTAAAGGTGACAGAAGAAATGTGACAATTGCTGGATTCTCAGCTGGCGGTGCTAGTGTTCAACTGCATTACTTCAGTCCATTATCTGATGGACTGTTCAAAAATGGAATATCACATTCTGGCGTAGCTTTAAATCCTTGGGTGATGGCTGAAAATGCGAGAGAAAAAGCATTCATTGTGGGAAAATCTGTTGGATGTAAATATCATGATAGTAAGAAGCTGTTAAGATGTCTCAAGAAAGTTCCTGTGGCTAAATTAGTCTCAGCTGCAAAAATCTTTCAACCATTTTTGTACAACCCTTTCTCGCCATTTGGTGTTGTGGTCGAGAATGATTATGCTAATGCATTCTTAACTGACCATCCTCAAAAGATATTAGAAAACCGAAAATTTAAACCACGTCCTTGGATTACATCCGTTACAAGAGATGAGGGTTTATATCCAGCAACTGAATTCTACAATAACAAAACATTGAAACAATTAGATGAAAAATGGAATGATTTAGCTTCCTTCTTGTTAGACTTTAATTCAACAACCTACGACAACCAGAAGAAATTGGAATGGTCCAAAACCATAAGAAAGTTTTATTTTGATGATGAAAGGATTAATGATGAAAATTTTGGTAGATTGACAAAGGTATGATTAAGTTTGTGTTGTATTAAGATGATTTATGAATGTTAAATTTACAGCTCATGACAGACAGACTCTTTAAGAATGGATTTTATAATTCTGTGGTCTTGCAGTCATCTTATTCTAAAACTTATTGTTACTATTTCGAATATGAAACTGAGGTAATTAATTATTGATTTAAGATTCCACGAGAAACTTAACAATTTCGAATTTACAGCAACATGCTATGGACGAATTGAGAAACACAACAAACTTTCTAGGTGTAGCTCACGGAGATGATGTTTTTCTGGTTTATAACAATCGTAAATTGAGAGATTATACATCAGATGAAAAGACAATTGGTCAACATTTTATCGAAATGTACAAACTTTTTAATCAACAAAATATTGTGAGATATGCTGGGAAACAAATTGAAGCAAGTGATGGAAGCACTGTACAATGTATGAACATTGGATCTTCATCAGACTATTCGATGAAAGTACTTGATAAAAGTTTTGGAGAGGTTGATTTCTGGAAATCTCTTAACATACCAGAATAAACATTGTGTTTGGTGCTAAAATTATGAACCAGAGGCAATTAAGACAATTCAACTCAAAACATATTTATTTTAATACCTGAACAAATTTAATGGGTAATTTATAAACCAGAGAATCCAAAAACTTTCTAAAATTTTCTTTAACGAACTTTTAAAATTCAAATGATTGAAACTGAAACAAGAAAATTCAAGAATAAACAAAAATTAGTCTGTGATACAAAAATAGATTAGTCTGAATGGATCCTTTAAACTATTTTGGTGAGGATATTGCTCCGTTGATATTACAGCACTTATCAGTGAGGGATTTGCTAAAATGCACACAAGTTTCTAGTAATTGGGATTCTATTATTGGATCAACATCAAGGATAATGTCTAAAGTATGGTTGAGATTCTATGAACCGCTTGATGGCATTGAATGCTTATTGAACAGCACGAGGAAGTACTCAAATTTCAAAATTCAACATGGGCTCCCTAAAAAACTCGTTTCGTTATTTGAAAAACATAAATGGAAAAATGTGATGATGCGAGACGATACAGATATCGATTATAAGGAATTTGTAGCATTTTTGAGTACGTTGGCTCCAACACTTGAGACTTTGGATTTATGGGACATTGGAACAAAAAACAATAACGTTGACATGGTACATATAAATTTTCCAAGACTGAAGGAACTAGAATTAAATTTAACCAATCGAATTGTCCTGTCATTATTCCTTGGAAGCAATCCAAAACTCAAAAAGGCAACGTTGAGGAACGATGGAATGTATTTTCAAAATGTTTATCAACAAATTATGGAACCAACAAATTTAATACACGAGTTTCTTATACGAAATCAAATCGAAATATTGAAGTTGCTGCATTGCGAATGGTCTTTCGAGACGGACTTGACAGAAGGATTATCATCTAAATTTAAAATTATTACTGTAACAACGAGTTCACAAGGATGTACTGCAAACATGCAATTGAACATTTTAAAATTTATTAAATCACATCCAATAAGAGATTTAAGTGCATCGAAAGAAGAAATTATTGGAGGCAAAAGGTTCTTGACTGTTTACTATCATTGAGTTTAGTTCATTGTTAGCAAATTTATGTTTTTTATTTTTTGCTAGCTTTAAGGGCTTTAAGGTTGTTGAATTTTCGGATTTACTTTATTTTGAGTTTCTTTTAAATTTGTATCGAGTTTCAATTTAGCTTTGACTATTGCCAATGAGTTCTTATATTATCAAACGATACGATCTAATACTTTCTTGCAATTTTTTTCTTTAAATTTTGTTTACAAAATATAAAATCATAAATTTAGTAAAATTTGAAAGAGATGACATTAAGTAAATCATTTGCTCACTCTTTTTTAGGAGTTTTCAATCATTAGTTTAGCTTTTAAATAACAGTTTGTTGTAAATTTCAAAGTTTAAAAGTTGAAGTGTAAACAAAATTTTTCAAATAATTCATTTCAATTGTTTCGAAATTTGAATCTTATTTCAACTGACTGAAGTTTGTATGAAATTAAAGATTAAGTGAGATTAAATAAGATCTTATAGAATCTTATAGAGCTTAATGGACCACAATAAATTTTATGTCTGCAGTTGAGTCTTTAAGTCTGAACAATTTATTGAATTAAGGTTGTAAACTGAAAGTCTTTTGATATTTTAATTTAAAATTTCAATCAAGATTATTTCATGCAGAATAATTAAGCTTGTTTGTATTTGAATAGTAGCATAATTTCCATTAAATTAAGTTAAACATGATTTTAATAAATGTTATGACACAATTAAATAAATGAGCGTAGATACGAGCCTTCATCTACACCTTATTCTTATTTCCTTAGCGTATCGTGTTTCGTGCAAAGAAGACTCATGCAAGTGTAGAAGACCAATAAAAAGAATAACAATGATGTTATAAATCAAATGTAAATTACGCTTTTCAATGGAAATTTTATAGCATTTAACATGCAATCTTTCGAACTTCCCCCGTTTACAAGTCGGAAAATTTTCCTTCAATTTTTTTTTTCTTCACCAATCGTGCTGGGGATGCTTAAATGAGAATTTAATGTTATGATTTTTCGTTTTGCTACAACTTTTTTTTTGGACGAGTGTTGGAAGCCTTCTCTGTTCTCAAAGGTAACATTTAATGAGCTTTTCATCAATAAAATCATATTAAAAATTCTGTACGCGTGCACGGATCTTGAGAAAAAAATATCTTTTCTGCTACTTACCGGATGTGGCAAAAAGCGATGATATAAATGCTACAGATGATTTCTTAAATAGATTTTGATGAATTGATGAAATCATGAATGGAGAATATCGAGAAAAATGACTATTGATGAATTTTTTTTAACCTTTAGGATATAAATAAGGTGCGCGCAGTTCGTTTAGACGCACTTAATTTTTTTCAAATTTTCCTTTAATAAACACTATTAAGACAAAAACTATTTTATGTGTTTATAGCTATGACCAATTAGGTTATAAATATAATAAAAGTATCTGACTAAATGCTTTGCTTAAGTAATTAAAATAATTTTTTCAAAAATTACAACAACAAAGTGCGCAGTTCGTTTAGACGCACTTTGAAAAATCTAAAATTTTGTCTTATTTACGTTTCGTAGAAAACTTAATCGTTTCTAATATTAATCTATCAACAAAAACGAGTAATTACTGAGGGTTTTAGAATTTTCCATCAAGTTTTTCCAGAGATTTTCCTTCATTAAAGTTTTCATGTTGCAAAAATTTTGATAAATTATTTATCCAATAATTTTGCGTTAAATTATTATTCTTTTAACTGATTTCCATAGATAATTGTCCATAATATTAGAAAATTAACAGATATTTAAGCTTTCTTATAAGTATAAGGCGAAAATATGTGAAAAATATAATTATGGTGAAAAATTTTCCACCACTCTCATAGATTAATCAACAAATTTTGACAAAACTGTAGATACCATAATAAATTTGAATAGACCAGCTTATTTATCGTATTAAACTTAGTTAAAAACAGAAAACTGCACAGCTCTATGGCTAATGGAACTTGAAAATTTTACTGAAAAATTAAGTTGTGGTGAAAAAATTCACCATAGAAAAATAAAATTTTAAAAAACGTTGTTTTAGGCAATTGTTTCATTTAAATTAGGTTGTAAAAGTGTTTCTGTCTCAAAATTAATCAATTTAAAACATGAATTAAAACCTTAGACATTGTTTTTTAAAATTTTATTTTTCTATGGTGAATTTTTTCACCACAACTTAATTTTTCAGTAAAATTTTCAAGTTCCATTAGCCATAGAGCTGTGCAGTTTTCTGTTTTTAACTAAGTTTAATACGATAAATAAGCTGGTCTATTCAAATTTATTATGGTATCTACAGTTTTGTCAAAATTTGTTGATTAATCTATGAGAGTGGTGGAAAATTTTTCACCATAATTATATTTTTCACATATTTTCGCCTTATACTTATAAGAAAGCTTAAATATCTGTTAATTTTCTAATATTATGGACAATTATCTATGGAAATCAGTTAAAAGAATAATAATTTAACGCAAAATTATTGGATAAATAATTTATCAAAATTTTTGCAACATGAAAACTTTAATGAAGGAAAATCTCTGGAAAAACTTGATGGAAAATTCTAAAACCCTCAGTAATTACTCGTTTTTGTTGATAGATTAATATTAGAAACGATTAAGTTTTCTACGAAACGTAAATAAGACAAAATTTTAGATTTTTCAAAGTGCGTCTAAACGAACTGCGCACTTTGTTGTTGTAATTTTTGAAAAAATTATTTTAATTACTTAAGCAAAGCATTTAGTCAGATACTTTTATTATATTTATAACCTAATTGGTCATAGCTATAAACACATAAAATAGTTTTTGTCTTAATAGTGTTTATTAAAGGAAAATTTGAAAAAAATTAAGTGCGTCTAAACGAACTGCGCGCACCTTATTGCTTAATAACGGAACATTGAATTTTATTTTTTTTATGAAAAATTATCTTTATTAAAATTTAATATAATTTTCCAGCTATCAAGCACCGACGAATATAATCAATGGATTTTTCTTCCCCATCATCAAAACGTTTTTCCATTTTTTTATGAGTTCATCCAAGCTTTAAATGAACTTCATCCTGTTCTTTCAGTTTCTTAATAGCTTTTAATAATGATTATGTTTTGGATTTAAAATCCCCGAGGATATTCGGATAGTAATTTATATAATGATTTTATTTGCATGAATCAACATTTTGGGTGAATTTCTAATTTTTTGACTGTTTGATCTTGAGGACGAGAGTTTGTTAAAAGTGAATAATTAATTATTAGATTTAAAAAATTCAAAATAATTTGATAATCCATTTTCGAGTAAGTTTGAAGTTAATACTGAATTATCAAATAAGTTGGCTGACATTACAACATTGTTAACCTGAAACTTCATAACCAATATCCAGAATGCCAAAATTACCATTATTTAATTCTGATTACCTTAAACTGTTTTCATTTCGATAGCCAAAAACAAAATTACCAAAAATTCCTTCAAACACAGCAACATCTTATTAATAAGAATTCTTTACTGCCAACTTTTGACTTCGTAACCTTGCAAGGTCTTATCCGAATCCTTGAAAACTGTCTTAAAAAGTTAATGAATGTTCAACAATTGAGATTGTTAAGGACGAACCTCATTGAAAACATTTGGAAATAGACAAACAAAAGGAGGCAGCATTAACATCCTACATAAAAAAAACTTTTGAGGGTCAGAAATCTTTTTTGCGTTGTGACAATAATGAGAAAAATAAATTAACATTAAAATTTTTTTCATTATCTGGCGTTATTTACAGATATAATTCATTCACACGCGTATACAAATTTCTGTTATAAAGGACATCGTAAATTAATTTTAAGGATATTAATGTCTGATAATAGACCAGAATTTCTCACAGATAAGAAATTTCTTGTTTCACATCTAGGATTCTTATATCGAGCAGTAGTGCTCCGTCGAGTATAGGTTGAGAACCACTGTAATAGAC